TAAGTTAAGAATTACGCATTCTAAAATTTAATGCAAAACGCTCTTGAACCAAGATTGATATAACTTAAGGGGAGCAAACATGTTCTTATTTCAAGAATAAAATGGGATTTAAAACGAGAAATTATGTTCTTCTTTCTAGAGTAATGTGAATTGAAACTAGAATATTTAATGTTGTTTTCGGCTTGCAAACGTTGCCCTGTAGGAAAATAAAAACACAATTTATATTTTTTCCACTTCATTATTTACAGCATAGTTTAGACTTTACATTAATCATGGGTACATATAAACAGTTAATTATACATATGTTATGTATATACAGTTAGTCACAAAAGTATTATTATTTGATTTCTCTTACAAAAGGTTTGGTTTGGTTTTCATAGTAACATTTTTTCGTTTATTTTTTTTTACAAATGCATAGCCAATTCTACAATAAAAACCAACACATAAATCAAAATTTCAAGCTTTGGACAAAATACAAAAAAAATTCGAGCATTCATTGCATATGTCCACTGGCGATCAAAAGTGAGTGCATTGTTTTTTTTCTTAAATATTTGCAACTTTTTTCAAGTAATAATTTTTTTGTTATTTTTCTTTAAAAATATGGGTCATGCTTTAATCAAGACCACATAACTCAACTTTCAAACGTTATAAATAACTTAGGAAAATTCAAACCGTATGCAAACAAAATTAAAAAAAATAACGCTATATTTTGTACATTGCACTTGTTATATTATGCAAAAAAAACGAAAAAGCCATCGGAAAAAAATCATTAAAAATCCACGCGATTTTTTAGCCGCTTAAAACTTTCACTTGTTTCACTAAAATTACATATCCGATCTATCTGCGTACCAAACATTTTTCTCAAAATTCAGATTAAAAAGTTTAAAATTTGGACGAAAATGTTGAATTTTTCTACGTTCTGTATAAAGTTTGAAAGTTTGACTTAGTGTTTTCGATTAAAGCATGAACCATACCGCAAAATCCATCGGAAAAAAACCATTAAAAATCAACGCGATTTTTAGCCGCTTAAAACTTTCACTTGTTTCACTAAAATTACATATCCGATCTATCTGCGTACCAAACATTTTTCTAAAAATTCACATTAAAAAGTTCAAAATTTGGACGAAAAGTTGTTGAATTTTTCTACGTTCTGTATAAAGTTTTAAAGTTTGACTTATGTGGTTTCGATTAAAGCATATAAAAATAACAAAAACAAAAAAGTTTAACTTAAAAAACATTGCAAATATTAAACTAAAAACACCATGCACTCACTTTTGATTGCCAGTGTACATAAATTAATATTGTTATTCAGACATTCGATGGCCTACGAAATCACGTTCTCGAAAAATTTCTAGGACTTTTTATTATTATAACCTTACAGATATTTCATTCTTAAATATGATTTTCCATTATTTGTAGGATATATATGTAAAGGTGGACTTGTAAATTCTTCAATAGGTCTTAAATACATTTTATCAACTAAACAACCTATCTCATATGATCTTAAATGACTCAAATGTTTTTACCTCTACTTGTTGACAAAGTACAAAAGCATTTTCATTATGGTACTGTACTCCAAACCAAACTCCACGTCAAACAGTGCAGACGTGTAAATTAATGTATGTATGCATTTTGTGTTTAATTATTGTTTTGAAATTTGTATTTATGTATGTATATGTTTATGTTTTACATGATTGTCAATAGTTGCCCTGAGGACGGTTACTGAAGCGTAACCGAAATATATCGAAAAAAAACTAAAATCCTGTGTTTTAATTCAAAAAAATTTTCTAAAACCATTTGACCTCGAGCCGGCAGAATTAACAATTAAGAAATAAAGTGGTCGCCAAAACCATCATCGTTATCCGTTTTATTTATTTTCCAAATGTATGCGAAAACAAGAAAAATTAGTAAAAGTTTGATTACAGTTGTTTTGAATGCATTATATTTTTAACAGTTTTCGTGTTAATAAATGATCTTTTTTAAAATGAACTATCAAAATTGCAGGTGCTGCAAAGATTTTTAAACAACGAAAACAAGTATACATCTTTCCGTTATTTTCTAATCAGTGTTCAAAAAGCTTACAAGTGATGTAATATTTGACGACTTGAAGTTTCAATTTGAAAAAAAAATATTTGAATAAAAAGCCAGGAGTCCTGACAAGCTTCTGGATATTTAAGATTCATTATTTGAAATAGTTTAAAACAAATATCTATGCTTTGAATGAACGAATTAAACTTAAGCAAATTATTATCAAAGTACACAAAGAAACCGCTTATATTTGTATCTGACAGCCCTTCGACAATCGAAAAAGGTTGTACGGTTAACCCTGCAGAGTAGTATTGGTTAATTATGGCATAGACCTGCCGTTGGTAATCATTCAAAGTTGGGAACCGCAAAACCAAACTTTCCTGAGAATCAACTATAGTTACTTTCTTAGTTTTTTACCGCTTTCGCTTTTGAATCTGGCGCCGGAAGGTAATACAGCATTTAGAAGAATTGTAATTAAATAGTCCTGGACATCTGTAAAATAAGGAAAAAAAATATTTTCATGATGAATTAAAATTTTATTTAATATACCTTTATTATTTAACGATTTAACTGTAGAAAGTATTTGCTTACAATATTCGTTGCTTATGTTTTTCTCATAGTAATTAATAATTTTTGCTTTAAAAGTTTCCCACTTAGCAAGGATTAAATGTGTTTTCTCAGGATACATGAACTGAAAATCAATTTCAATCTGTAAATTTGAAACGGAAAGTACACGGTTAATTCCAGGTATTCCATTCTTAGTTACCATAAATTGTAATAAAATGTTACCATAAAAATGGATAAGTAAAATCACTACGAAAAACAATTAAACGTTTTTTTATACCAAATCAGAAGCCTGTGCATGTGACAATTTTGACCAAGCTTGAAAAAAATCCAAAGGACTCAAATTACAATCAAATTTAAATGAAAAGTTTTCTTCCATTTGTCGAAAACTTCGGCCCAATCCGCACAGTCTCTGTTTAAGGATGTTTTATATGCTTCGGAAACCGACTCATCAACTTCTGGAGTTTGGACAATCGATCTGTTAGCATAGTTTTTATCTTTGCTCTCAGACGGCTCAGACAATCCTTCAACCTTTCGGTGCTTCGATTTTTGGTTTTCATACTTTGAATACAACTTTCCAGACGGATTGTTTTTTCCTTGCCTCGAAATGAAGTAATAGTTCTATAAAATATATGAAAATAGTCCTATTTTAAATGCAGAAAACTATGTGCATATGTATGTACCGTGGCGCTCAGCTAAATAGCACACTCTTATTTCTTACAATATTCAATTTGTTTTACGTGATACATTTTTTTCGTTGGTTTTTTATAAAAACACAGTACATTCTATAACATAAACCGTAAAAGTCAAAGTTTAAAACTTTGTGTACAGTTCAGGAAAATTTAACAAATTTCAAAATGATGTTACAAAAATTTTCAGCATCAACAAAATCTATTTTTACGCAACACCCTCGACAAAGAAGTCTTAAAAATAAACGGAATTTTTCAGAGTTTTCACACCTGCACAATTGAATGGGCTACAAAACTGCATACAAAAAAAGTTTCTAAAAAATCTGAAAAAATTTTAAAATTATGATGCAATTTTTCAAAATTTTTAAGTTTTTGAATTTTCAAAAAATTCTGAAAAAATCTTAAAATTATGATGCAATTTTTTTGAAATTTATTAAATTTTCCTGAACTGCACACAAAGTTTTAAACTTTGACTTACACGGTTTATGTTCAGTGTTGCCACAAAACCTTTTTATTTTTTACCAAAATCACCGGAAAAATTACCAAATTCAACAAAAAATTACCAAACTTTTTTTTGTGCAGTACTGTACAAACATATATGTATATCGAGCCCTAACCGCCAAATTACCTTAAGCGACATTTTTTTCAAATTTTTCTTTTTGGTGCAGAAAGGCATCTAGATGGAATATTTATTATCAGGGAACGGATTTTATAGAAATCGCCTTTTTTTCTGCTAAAGAGATAGAGTATATTCGATTCCACGATTTAGCTTTCCCTGATTCCATATATACACATGTTGCCTTTTTTAATATATTTGCCTTTTTTGCCTTTTTTACCTTTTAAAAAGTGATTGTAGCATTTACAATTGTTTTTAAAGATTAAAAAATATACACATACATTCCTGATAATATGAACGTTTCAAACGTACCATATTTAAATTGGGCTCCATTTGTATCAACTTACGTCGAGCGCACATTTAGTACATTCAAGTCTTTTCTTCGCGAAAATCTAATGAAAATGCTGCCAGAGAACTTCAAAATGCATCTTGTGGTTCAATGTTACTACAACTATACAGATTAAAGTTTTATGATTTAGAAACTCGAAAGGATAAAATAGTTAAAGATTCAAAGTACAAATTTTTCATATAATGAAACTAGTTCATAGTTTTTCTCTTTATACTTGTAATATAAACATTTCTAAAATAAATGTATTTTTTAATTGTTCTTTGTATTTTCTGTCTTTTTTTAGTGCCTTATTTTGCTTTTTTTGCAATACCTAGTGCCTTTTCCTGCCTTTTTCGCTATTTTGTTTTGCCTTTTTTGCAATACCTAGTGCCTTTTCCTGCCTTTTTCGCTATTTTATTTTACCTTTTCCAGCCTATTTCGTTATTTTGTTTTGCTTTTTTTATAGGTTTTTAGGTCCTAAAACTCCGTTCCCTGTTTATTATTATACGTTATTTCGGCAGTTAGGGCTCGATATGTCTGTACATATATATATCCGAAGATACCAAGCTTTTCGGGCAATCAGCGCTCCATTAACCTAAAATTTTTACGAAAGTTTGTTGAATTTTTTTAAATATTGAACAAAGTTTGAAATATGAATTTGTTTGAGCTCTGTTAAAGAAATAACAATATCTTTATAAAAAATAACCAAAATTAGATTACAAAAAAAAAAAAAAACAATTTGTTAAAACTGGTCAAAATATGGTGCGGCTACAATTTTTTCGACCACTGTATGTAAACAAGTGACAAGAAAATATATCAAAAATTCAACGCTTGAAGGAAAGCGGTCGACTCACACATAGACAGAGTGACGTCCCCCGCTGAATGTCGTAGCTTTTTGAACGGGAACATACTTATTTACGTAAAACTCTATTCATATGTATGGTTGCCGGGTTCACCGGAAAATTGATAGTAATTGAAAAGCTGACGAACTGACAGGGAAAGGTAGGACCACCCAAAACATTCCAGGAAAGGACACGGTGGATATACTTATCAATAGCCACTTTCACTGCTTGAAAGTTAAAGAACACACCATTCTCGTAGCCAAGGAACGCTGGAACATCTTTCACCTTGCAAAACTTTCAGGATTACCTAGTATTTCTATAAAAGGAAACGCTTAAGGTCCACTTACTAATGTGGAATCAGAACCAATATTGACCTATTTCACATGTAAGACCGAATCGAAAAAGTTACCAAATTGAAAAATAAATTACCAAATTACCAAAATTTATAAATAAATAAAAAAATTACCAATTTTGGTTAAAAATTACCAAAGTGGCAACCCTGTTTATGTTATGGAATCTACCATTTTTATTACAAAGTAACGACACAATTTTATCGCGTAAAACATTGTGAATGCTGTAAAAAATAAAAGTGTGCTATTTGGATGAGCGCCACTGTATATTAGCTAAATTTACCTGCATATTAACTTCACTGGGGAGTATGGAGCATACTTCGTCCACTATGCAAGGAAAGTCCTGCACTTTTAGATTAATATTCTTTGAAATAACCTCTTCCACTACAATATTAATGATATCCTCCCTTTATGCATTTGTAAGTGTTTTATTTTTGTATCAGACATAAGAAGAGCTCGGCCTCGCCCAGAATCCTTAAGCTAAGTTGTCAAATCCTGTAGTAAGAAACAAATAATATAGTGACAAATAGTTATTCACACAGAGAATTTTTTGCAATATAGACATGCAAAGTTTTTTGCTAATTTCTTTTCGATATTTTTTTAAGAAAGTTCCTACTACACTAAAAAATATAAAAATAAAATCCCTAAACATTGTAAAAAAGTCAGGATAATTCAATAAATTTGCATACTAATTTGTACCTTTCTATTCAGATTTCCTAGAAAAATTCTAAATATGGACCCTTATAGCCCGCTCAAATTTTAGTGTTACAAAAAAAGTTTAAAGTTGCTAGAAAGTCACATTTATTTTTGGCAATTTTTGTTCCGGACGGTGCCATAATTATCTTCCATACAAAAAAAGTTGTCTGTACTTTCTATGGAAGAAACTGCATAAAAAAAATTTTCAAAACTACGCGATTTTGCAGCAACTTTAAACTTCCACTTTGTTATACCAAAATTGAATAGGCTATAAAACTGCATACTTAGAATTTAAAGAAAGAATTATCGAAAAAAAATTATAATACAAATCTTTTTATATATATTGTGAAAAATTGTCAGTGGCAATATTTTTGTTCGCCACTGTACACTGTGATATATTAAATTTACATATACCTTTTTTAGGATTTGCTTTGTATTTTCTGTTGCCGTTTCTAGCCAAGCACCCACATTAGATGGCACGGAAATTATATCATCGTCTATTCCAAACTAATAAGGAGTGAAATGTTTTCAGAAATAAATTAGAATTGACAATCAAAAAACATCTGCGTATGAAATACTACCTCTCGTTTTTTCCACATAAAGAGCTTCTCCGGGATTCCATCCGAAGGCCAAGAGGTGGTATGGCTTCTTTCAAGTCTTCCTTCCTCATGTACTGTAAACTTTCCAAAGTCCCATGCGCAGCTGAAATACATATATGTTTGCGTAAATAAATCTGTACATCAAGGCTCTGGACATGCCAAAGGCAGGGATTCTGCAAAAATCATGACATCTAACGTTCTTATAAAACTTTCCACAAACAAAAGTTATGTATACATACATATGTATGTTATATTAGTTACCATATTAGTTATATTTTTAACGCACTACCATGTAAATTACATTTACGATTTACCCAAATTCACTTTCGGCTATTGTCGCAACTGCGATCCATATTTTATGACTATTTTACATTAATAACTTTGCAAATTTTTACATGTACAAAAACTACTTGAATTTTAGTGTGGAAAATTTTCATCTCACTCACCGTTTAAATAAGGAAGCACATCAGGCAAATTAAAATCTGTTAATAATCTTAACAGGCCGTCGTCTTGCGTTTTGTCCTCTGTTTCAACATCACTCAGTATTTCGATTTTACCAATCACAAAACAACCGACTTTACACGCGACAAAAATAATACTAAAAAATTGCTCAACGTAGTATTTTCGGACCGTTATTCGCACACTGCGACGTCGCTCGGTGCCATCAGCAACGTATGTACATATGTACGTATGTACATATGCATAAAAAATCAAAGTCTACTACGGCTGTCCAGCCGGCGTATGAATATCGCTACTTGTAAAGATATACATATTTACATGCAAATAACAACACAAATGTGAGCCTTGCTGACGCTTCGCTCATTACCATCAGCAACGTATGTATGTATAAAAAATTCAAAGGCAACTACGATTGTCTGGCCGGCGTATGAATGTCGCTACACTTGCACAGATATATAAACAACAACAAAGGTGTGAGTACTGCTGGCACGCCGACAGCAGCGTATGCATACCATGCCTTGTAAAGAATAACGGTAGAGCGTCGTTGTATTCAACTTTAAAATTTTTGATTCTTCTTTTAAGAATTTTGAAACCAACAATAAGAATATCTGTTATGTTCTTGATTTGAGTACACATTAGTTTCGTTCTAAGCTTATTTTTTCTTAATATAAGTACATTATTCTGACTTGAAACTTTTTGCATCTTAATTTCACAAAACAAGAACGGAAAATTCGTATTCTAAGAGTATTTAAGACCGTATTTTTCTTAAAATTTTAAGAACGAAAAATAGTAAATTTAATCCCAGTAGGACTTATTTTTAGTACTTCATTTTTCTCTGAGTGTACATAGATGAATTTAAATATAAATTTTTCATCTTATTACTCCGTTTGTATTATGTTTTAGTCAATATCGTATTACAATAATTCACTTCACATTATACAGTCCGACAGTAATTTTGCCACTAGATTCACTTTTCGTTTTATTTTCTTTCAAGATTATATGAGGATACTTTGAAGATTATACACTTTTTTTGGTAAGTTTCCTCTTTATATAGCTTTAGTTTTTCACTTGATAATTAAAAATTCGTTTTTCTATCACTTTTTACGTATCTGCGCGTCGGTTAGAGATGAGTTAGAGAATGATGTTTGATATCAACTTGAGAACTATGAATTTCTCCAAGGTTGGAGAAATATTTTTTTGGTGTTTACTGGGTATGTACATAAATATATACGATTGATCTGCTTTCGTCTTCCCCTCGCCGCTTCCATCGACACAAATTATTAAATGTCTGCGAATCGGCACCAGATTCGCACATTAACCTTGCGTTTACGAAATATTTAGATTTTCGCATAAATTTACATTTAATAAATCAATACTTGTACATTTTTTATGGAGAATAATAATAATTAATTTAAAATTCTGCATGTAACCATGTTTTCGACGATACATGTAACATTCATGAAGATTAAACATAACAAGCGTTGTAAAATAGTGTTATTAACAGCTGGAACCAAACAAACTATGAGTGCAAAATCAACTTTCAAAAACACGCACGAGCCCGCACGTTAAGAATTTTAGTGGGGCCCGGCCCGGCCCGGCACGATGGGACACGTCCCAGCCCGGAAATAAAGAGCCTACTTTTATTGTATGTATACATATGTACTTATTTTTAATTTTGTGTTTATGTATGTATATTTACTTAAGCGAATCAAATTTTCACATCAAAGATTTTTGTAATATATTTTCTGGGAAGTAAAAATAGTGGAAGGTATTTTATGTACAGATATGTAAACAAAACTACTAAGTATCTTATTTTTGCTATCGGTTTCCAAATATTTCTTTTTTTGCTTTTCTCTTATCAAAAGAGGTTTAAATATGTACTATTTTTTTTAATAAAAACAAAAGATGATCTAAATTTGCAGTATTAGCAACGGGCTTTTTCGTGCTCTTATGAAATTTTACTGAACGCCCATGCACGCACGAGTTCGTGCTGACAGCAAATATTGCGGCCCCTACCCGCGGGCTTGCGCAGGGGCCCGCCGGGCCTGTGCCCATCTCTAATCACGACCACTATGAATAACATGGCGACCCGGAAAAGATCAGAGGAGTTAACATCACGTCCACTGAGACTAACATGAAGTTAACATCTCGCCACAAACACACATCGTGATCAGCGTTTCCGCGAGCTTGAAAAAAATGTATTAGCGTATTATTTGCCAAGCAGAAAAAGTATCATAAGCAAACAAAACTGTTGTTTGTTAAACTATTGCTTAAAAAACAAATAATAAATAAAATTTTATAATTAAATCCATAGTTATAAAAAAAAATATATTTCTTGCTTCTATCTGCTTATTTGCATAACGAAAAACAAACTTATAGAGCTCCTAAACCACACAAAACTCTTGCGCAACCTGAGACTTTTAAAAGTCAATATTGTGGAAATTACTACAGCGTAAAATTGCGCAAACCTTATTTTGAAGAAACGTTGCTCAAGTTAATATGTGAAGAAATATGAATGTGCGTTGTATATTTTGATAGCTTCAGCTTTAAAACGTAAAAAAAGTAAAAAATAAATAAAAACAACAGCATTTTACAGCTCGATCTGGACACCAAAATCACAACAAGACTAAAAATTTCGCAGTTGTCGCCATACGCAGTACAAATTATTGTACAATAACACAAGCATGAGCAAAATATCAAATTAATTTTTATTTTACCGCAATAACTGTGCAATTTAGTACAAACGACCTCATACACCACACAAGCGACCGACCCATGCCCGATATAGCGTAATGTTTTTGTGTGGTTTAGGCGACGTGTGCAAAGAAATTCCGTGTTGTGTTTTCCTTATAAGAGTTACCAACTCAAACTTATATATAAATATCTATATATAAATTGTGAGACTTTAAATAACAACAAAAAAAAAATATTTGCCTTTAGACTAGTAATACTATTCATAGTTTTAAAAATTCATTTCTGCCAGTCAAAATTATCAAAATACGGCATTTGGGAACAAAAAAGTATCAGATATTACAATTTAGAAGAAAGGATTAAAAATTATACAATTGTATCAAAACGGCAACGTTGATCGTGATGGAAAACGAAGTTAGTTAACATCTTGTCGTCATAGCGACGATGGAATTAACAGCGTCAGCCGAGTGAAAATACTGCTAAGTAACAGAGGCAGCGCCGCTTGTGGTACCCTTGCTTGCCTCCCCGCTCGTGACTTAATTCAAATTGGTTCTATAGTCGACATGCGTATTCTGTATGCTGTTTATTCTGAGGTTAAACGCAAACTTGCATTGACATTTTTACACGCATACATACATACCAGGGATGAAAAATGGAAATTTCAGATTGTACCTAATATCACAAAATAAATGTACCTAAATGAGACAGATTGTACCTAAAAAAAGTTTCATCATTCATTTGTAGTTTTTTTTTATATTTATTAAAACATGAATACAAAAGATATATGTACTTTAAACATGATTAGGTTTTTCAACTGAGCCTACATCTATAGACTGTAGTCTAATGGGAATCGGAGAAGCATTGTTTTTGTCTAATTTTGACTACTGAAAAATATTGGAGTATACTTCTTTATCCAGCTTTTTATAAAACAACAGGAAGTCTGCTAATTTATCCGATTCCTTTCAATAGGTGCAGCAAATCTAGAGAATATAATCAATGTGCCTTAAGTAACTTCGAAAGCATTTTAAATATATTTCCAGAAATCAAAAAAGCGAGTATGGGTCAAATAGCTGTAGTTCTCATCTAAAAATATGAAATTTGAAGACATCCTAAACACTGGACTGTATGGATGAATAAAGGCTGGTTTTCACAATGTAATATTTTGACAACAAAATTTGTTGAGTTATTTTGACACAACTTTCTTTCCTTTATCCCTACCTTTATCGATGATATTATGGGCCAAAAACTTACAAGTAGCCGCCTTAGCAGCGCATGTACACGCCTATTCTGATCTAAATCAAACCAAAGATCATTTTTTAGTCCCATTTGACAATGAAGGCCTATTCTGATCTAAATCAAACCAAGGCCAGTTTTTAGTCCCATTTCACTCATTTGACCGCAAATGCCACTGAATTTGACTTAGTGAAAATAAGCGTTAAAATTAATAGAAAAAAATTACGAAGCTAAGTAAAGTGTTAATTTTTCGTAGTGCCTGCTCTAAATGCAATGTAAAATGTTTAAGATAATACATAATATGGTTTTTTTATGTCTTCCTTTTGACCACTTTTCTCTAGAATTGTTTATTATTCAAAATGAAAGCGAAACTTCTCCCGTACCTACAAGTAAATATATTAGCGCGGTAAAGGAAAAAAAACTAATAATGCATCTGATCAAAAGATGATTGTACCTAAAATCTAGTGACTGTACCTAATGTACCTTTAAGTCATGAAACGTCGGAAAAAGGTACAATTGTACCTACTTTTTCATCCCTGATACATACATACATATACACATGTACAGTGCAGTAGCACTAGCTTGGACATCGCATTGGTTGTACTATAATGTAGTGTTGGGCAAATTTTAATTGTAAAGCTGGGATCACACGAAACAAAAACTGTTAAATTCATAGACAAATCATGTGAACGCTAAATTGCATTTGTCATTTATCAGAAAATCCAAATATTTGCCTTCTTGTGGCAAATGAAAAACAACGCTGGTGGCCAAATCGTCTGAACGCAATGCTGCTACGAAAGCCAAAAAAAAATTACGCAAATGACCAGATATCTTATTTGCCACTTGATGACAAATGCCAGTGACAAATATACAAATATTGTTGAGCGGTATTGCCATTTCGTGCTTGTGAACCTTTGTATTTTCTAATTTTGGTAAAATTTTAATATTTAATATAATATTCGTATCTGAAAAATATCACGTTATTTGAAAACAATAATTTTAAAATATTTGCTCAAACTGCACATTTGAAAACATGTACATGTACGTATTCGACAGTAGCTGAGTGTGCAGAGAAGCGTGCGACTATTTGTAAGCTTTCATGAGGTCCCAGGTTCTTATGCCGGCAGACGAACATATTAAAAAGTATTTATAAAAGTATAATTAATTTCTGAGTATAATTAACTATGAAAAAGCATATGTGAAGTTCAGAATGAAAAATTTCAGAAAACCAACCGGAAAAGTATTCGTTTCACAACCCTTCGTGGCACTTTACTATTCACCTTTCTTTCAGTTTTCGGATTTCTTTCCGCAGTTT